ACAGCCTAACAGGCTCCGCCCCCTCCCCCCCCCCCCCCCCTCCCCCAGGGCCGAATCGCTGCAAACTGCAGGACATGCTAGCAAACCTGCGGGATGCTGAGGAATTGCCCCCTGCGCAGCCGTCGGCAGCCCCCCCCGCGCGGCCCAGCATGGTCCGCCCCGGCGAACATGAGGCTGGCCGTGCCGACGAGGGTGAGTACCCCCCCGGGGGCTATCTGTGTGCCCAGTGCTCACTGGGACTCTCTCTGTCAGTATGCCGTGCTGGGTGCTGGGTGCTGAGTCGCCCCTCGCATTACATAAGCCAAGCTGTCGCTCTGCCTGAGTCCCACGGGGATAAATAATGACTTATTAACATAATCACATCACATCACACCCCCGGCTGTGCACTCAAGTCTCTGCTTTCTGCTCTCTGATTTCACATCCATGTTCTTCACGCTCATGCAACTGCATGAGTCTTTTTAATCGGTTAGCTTGTACGCAGCGTAAATTCTCCGGCGTTAAATTCCCAGTGTATCACATCACACACCGGCAGGCCAGAGGGGTGACTGGAAGTGGTTGTGGAGGGTGAGGCGATGACTAATAAATAACAACAGCAGTGTCTCTCGCAGTGGAAGCCATGACGTTCCCCCCCACATCCGGGAAGTCGTTCATCATGGGCGCAGGCGAGGCGATGGAGAACGAGCTGGGCCTGGGGGAACTGGCAGGCCTGACGGTGGCCAATGAGGCGGATAACCTGACCTACGACGTGAGTCTGCCCTCGGGGAGGGGCCAGGGGAAGGGGCGGGCTAGGGAGCCTGATGGTGGTCAATGAGATGAGGCGGATAACCTGACCTATGACGTGAGTCTGGGGCCAGGGGAAGGGGGAGGGGTCTCCTCCAGGGGAACCTAACAACGATCACACTGCCCTCTGTGAGCCACACTGGCCATGATGCAGTTTCTTATTAACTTAATGACTTCTGGGCAGTTTTCCAGTGTTATGCTGAATGAATACAAATGTAAATTATATAGTGAAACAGGTAATTGTCCTAAAGGATGCGACAGCCGTGAAGGATGGGCTGCTCTCCTGGGGGGGGGGGCATAGAGGTCACTGTCCCCTGTGATGTCCATCAGAACTGGCTTTTCAGGCTTTGTGGGGGGGGGCTGGGTCTCACTGACTGAGCAGGCCAGCGATGGTTCTGCTCCTTATAAGAGAATCTATGGGATTCAACACCCATTTAATGTTTTTAGAGAGTGATGCTCTTTGTGGGTCATGATTAACAGAGCTATGCAACCCCCCCCCCCC